ATTTCGGTCCTGGCCCTGGTGAGCTGGATACACAAGCGCGGAGAGGAAGAGGTCCCGCCCTGGGCTCTTTGCTGAGGCTGGTTCCTCTCTCTGCGTTGCAAGCGCCGGGGCTGGCACGCGGGGCTCAGGTCTGTGTTTTTCCTGTCTGCTCCACGTCCGTGAATCGTCCTGCGAAAACCAAACACACCCCGGGCGCTCTGCCTGTCCTTCTTTCCCATGGTTGGCTGAATCCTGATCCTAAGAGCTGAGGACGTAATTTTGCACCTCCCTTGTTTTTGTAGCTGTTTGGAGAAGAATGTAATAAAAATCTGACTCGAGCCTGTCTCGAGGGACTCCACCTCCCTGCAACCTGGCACAGAGTCCTCCCCTCGTGTTGTTCCTCATCACTGGGGTCTCACGCTCCATGTCTTTGCCTCCAGACTCTTCCTGGGGCAAATGTTTCTCTCATGCTGGGGAGATCAGAGCTGACTGTCTGTCCAGGGCAGCGTGCCCTGGCTGTGCTGCTCTCTAGAGGGGATGAGCCTTGTCCTGCCTGTGCTCGAGGGCCGTGAGTGCCCCTGGGCACTGTGTCACACGGCAGCTCAGTTTGGGAATACCAGGTTTTGTCCCTGTGTGGTGCTGAGCCAGAAGCAAAGTTCCCGGGAACACTTTATCTTGGAGCTCAGGGTGCTCTGGCCTGAGACTGCTCCTGAGAATGAGAAAATAAAGTGTTTTAGGGATGCAGTGTGCGTGCCTGGACAGGGCTCGCCCTGGGAATCCTTTGCTTGTAGTGCTTGGGGCCATGTAACGGCTGCTGCAGCTTTCCTGATCTCCTCTTTCCAGGCTGCGAGCTGTCTGCCAGCACCAAATCCTATACGTTTCAGGTGGACAAGGAAGATGACTCCGACCACATTTTGGCCCTGTCTGTGGTAAGAGAAATGAGAATTAACTGTGCTTGTCCTCTCCCATGGTGGCCCACAGCCTCACCCCTCCTCCCCAGGCTCGTTCCCCCTTCCCTGGCCAGGCTGGACCAGAGGACTCCCTTGGTCAAGGTCTTAGCACTGGCTACTCTCAGAGCAGTGGGCTGTTGCATTTATGGAGGTGCTTGAGCAAAGGCAGTGGTGTTAGGAGGCTGCTCATCAGATGAATACTCCAGACGTGGAGTGAAGGAAAGTAATTTTTCCTTCTCTTTGACCTTGCTGGAGCCTCCCACTAGAACATGGCCCCCCTCACTAGCTGGATTTCTGGCTTGTTGATCTCCAAGTCCAGATAGATGCAGGGATTCCTTCCTGGTTCTCCCTGGGAGTCACTTTCTATCCTGGGAGCGCAGGACCTGCCAGCATGGGTCAGGTCAGCAGAAAATGCAGCTCAGGTGCCATCTCTAGAAGTGGTTGCAGTAACAGCTGTCTCAGCTGGGAAAGGCACAGAACCCCTCCAGAGGTGGTTAGGGGGCAATTGCTGCAGGGGGTGCTCCGTGCTCTCCCTGTTTTGTGGAGCAGCATCCTCACACCTTGCACAGCAGCTGGACTGATGGCATTGCTGTGGGTCACTTGTCCCACAGAAAGCCCTGGCTGTCCCTACTGTGTCCTCCAGGAGAGCAGTAGCTCACAATCTCCACACCCACCCAGGTCTGCCTCACGGACGGTGCCAAGGACGAGTGCAACGTGGTGGAGGTCGTCGGGCGAAACCATGAGAACCAGGAGATCGCTGTGCCTGTGGCGAATCTGAAGTTGTCATGCCAGCCCTTGGTAAGAGGTTGTTTTGAAGACTCAGGTGGGGATAGCTGCAGGGAACTGGACATCTCTGGGTGTTTGTGGACCTTCTCCCTAGGATCCTGACCATGAGCTCATCTCCAGCTTGGGAGGAAGGCACTGGGAAGCCTGGCTACAGATGCCCTCAGACAGACATGTTTAACTGGGCCACATGCCGTGCTGGGGACTGCAGGACATTCTGCTTTTAGCTGCTGCCCTTAACTCAGCTCCATCTCTGTCTCTTTGCAGCTAAGTCTGGACAACTTCAAGCTGCAGCCTCCAGTGACCTTCCGCCTGGCAGCGGGCTCTGGCCCAGTGCACCTCGCAGGCTGGCACCAAGTCGGTAAGGACTTGTGGGTGGGGAAAGGCTTGGGAGAAGTGAGGGGTGTGGAGGGGGGCTCCCTCCAGCACAAACACCGGCTGGGGAGCCTCTGGGAGATGCGCTTGGTGCTGCCCAGTGCATGTGCCTGGTGCTTCCATTGTGCTGGTTCCCCAGGGGCCATGTGTGTACAGGGATTCCTTCCCTGCCGTAAAGCCTTGCATGGGAAAAGGGGTTTGGATGACCCACGCTGTCCATTTTCCCCATGGCTGGCTGTCAACATTCCCCTCTGAGACCTCCCTCCAGCTGGGATACAGCCCATTGCCCACAGGCTGCTGTTAAAAGTGCTCCAGTGCTCCTTGGGCTGCTCTGCTTTTGGGGCGTCTTGGGGGCCAGTTGCATTTGCAAAGACGTATGTCGGTGGGTAACAGAGTTATTTGTGTGTCCCAGTGCACAGGGAAGATGCTTCCTTTGAGGAGGATGATGACTTGTCAGAGGAGGAGGAGGAGCTTGCTCCTATCATGCCAGCCAAGAAGTAGAGGAGGAAACAGTAACTTACCTCCAGGCAAGGTGAGGGGCCAGGCAGCCTCGGAGGAAGGGTCCGGTGGCTGTGATGCCAGTGGAGCAAGCGTGGGTGGAACCTGCCCTGCTGCAGGAGGCTGTTGGTCTCAGTCTGGTTCTTCCTCCAGGTACTCGTTTGGACTTCTCTCCCTGGACGGCTTTTACCTCAGACTCGGACACCTCTTGACAGGACCTCAGTGTTTGCTGCTTTGTTTGTTTTTGGTTTTGTGGTTTTTTTTCTTGTAACTTTTTGGGGAGCCGGGGCTGCTCCCAGCACTGGGGTGTCTCCTTTCCCACAGACCTGGGAGGTTGATCCCAAAACTGGATGGATGCTGCTGGTATATCCTCTCTCCCCCATCACTGTGTTGGGAGTTGGGGATGGAGGAGGCGATCCTTGCCCTGTGCCTTTTTTCTGTCCTGAACCTCTGCTCTGTGCACCCCCTCTCCCTAGCTCTGAAACACCCAGTCCTGACCCCTTCCCCAGCAGATGGATGTAAAGCCAGTGGTCAGACAGTTTCACTGATTCTAGTGTTTTTTCTTTTCTTTACTCACAATTTGATGATTTTTTATACACTTGGAAGTGTGAAACTGAGACCCAGGCTGTGTCCTCAGCTGCAGTTATGGTGGGGTGGGAGCTCACAGTCTATTTATGAATTGGGGGGAGGTTCTGGATCAATCTGCTTTGTAAAGAACTGGTTTTACACTCTAAATAAAGGTCTCTCAGGCATCAGGTCTGGAGGGAGTCACTGCTGGCTAGCAGCTTCCTCCCATGTGCACTGACCCTCTTCCACGTCCAGCTCCTGACACTTGCTTCCCTTGGCAATGGTGTGGAGCTCCCAGGAGGGGCCATGGGGCTCCTCTCCCTTGTGGGCTCTGACTGTTTGTGTTCCATCAGCCACCTCAGCACTGCATCCAGGCTGCCGAGGGAAGGGGCAGAGTTGCAGGCAGCTGTACAGGGCAGGGAGCAGCTCCACGTGTGATCTCAAAGGTAACTCAGCTGTTATCAGCGCTCTCCTGGTTTGGGCCACATTGGTCCTGATGCTGTCACAGCAAGGTCCTGGCTTGTGTCCTGCCCTCAGCCCAGTAGCATCCTGTGGAGGCGTGAAACACCAGCACTTGCAGCGTGTGGGGCAGGTTTGAGCTCTGACCTTTGCTGGGGAGTTGTGTTCCCCCACACAACTCCCATACCTGGAGAGGGTTTGATTGTTTCTGCACTTTGGCACTTCTTGCCCCTGGGGGTCTGGTCCTGTCCTTAAATGTTTGTCTGGTGGCTTTTCTGCGTCTGATCTTGCATCCCTGGCCCATGGTTCAATGCCTGCCCCAGCCCTTCTTGTTTGTGACACTGTCTGCTGTCCCTGAAAAGCATCATGTACTGTTCTGCCCTGTTGGTGTCCTGAGACTGAGTTCCTTAGTTGTATGGACTCCGGTACCAAATCCTCCAGGGCAGATGCTTGGCTCAGGCTCCATCCCAAGTTGTGAGTGGGGCTGGTTCTCCTCTGGGTCCTGTGCTGCTCCCCTCTGTATCCCACATCCCTGCTGTTTCCTTCTGGCCCCAAACAGCCCTTGACTAGGGTGGAAGGGAGGCTTTGATGCCCCTTGCAGCAAAAAGGACTGCTGGCATCCCTGGGGACCGTGCCTGCCCGGGAGGCACCGAAGGACCGAGCAGAGCCGGCCGGGACTGATGCACCCCGCGGCTGGTGCGCGGCGGCGCGGGAGGAGGATGCTAGGGGGCTGGGAGGCAGCGGGGATACCCCGGTACCTGCTGGGGACGCGGGG